AGAGAGAGAGAGAGAGAGAGAGAGAAATAGCAGCTTCTCCCATGAGAGCCAAAGCCTTTGAAGGCATTTGGACGAACTTCCTTCTCCTCTGGCCGGAAGCGGAAGTGCGGGAGCCGACCGAGGGGAGAGCGCTTCCGCACCGGCCCGGCCACGTGACCGTCCAAGATGGCGTCCTCCAGTGGAGAAACCGGCGAGCCGCCCGAGTGCGAGCAGAGGCCGGAGCCGGCGGGGGACCTGCGCAGCGTCCTGCTGACCAGCGTCCTGCAGCTGGAGCCTCTGGACGTCGACCTCTTCCGGTCAGCCGGGCCGGAGCCGCAGTGGCTGGGACGGAGCTCCTCCTCCACCCTGGCCCCTTGAAGACGGGGCTGGCTGGGGTTTGCGGGGAGTTGAACTCAACCTCTCTTCAAGCGGCCAGGGTCGAGAAACGCTGGGCTGGGAGGAGGAGGAGGAGGAGGAGGCTCGACCTGTTGAATGTCCACGGAAATTCCCCATCACCCGGCCCGTCCTTGTCCCAAAGGTGCTTTTTCAAGAGGCAACTGCACTTTCCTTAAAGTCTCCTTAGAAAATCCAATGAAAAAGCAACTTTGGGGCTCCACCTGTTGAGTTTCTGCCTGCCTGTAGCCGTGGATGTCACCTTGCTGAGAGGCTTCCCCGTTTAGTGTTGGAGGTGGCCGCTCTGTGCCTGCCTCGGAACCAACAGTGGGGTGGCTGCCACGAAGGGCAAGCAGCCGGTCTGGTCCCTGGCCCTGAAGGTTGCCACGGAGGCCCCAACGGAGGGCTGAACATTGGGGTTCAGCCTTGGATCTTGGCCCCGGAGAGGAGAGCTTGGGGGCAGCTACTCGCCTCCCTGGCCTGCATCACCCCCAAAGCTTCCCCCAAGAGGCAGCCATTGCCATCTATAACTCTCCCCTTTTCTTCTTAGGGGAAGGCACTACTGGGTGCCGGTCACGCAGCGTCTTTTTGGAGGGCAGATAGTGGGCCAGGCGCTGGTGGCCGCAGCAAAGGCCGTGACGGACGACCTGGAAGTCCATTCGCTCCATTGCTACTTTGTGAGGGCAGGTAATTTACAGCGCCTGGAGAGGGAGGAGGGGGAGGCCCAGCCAGCGTGCCCATCAGAGCTAAAGGAGGGTGCTGTGAGCTGCTTACAATTTATTTATTTGTTAAATTGATTTCTCATCTGTCTCGTCCTGGGGGCTCCCTAGGTAGCTTACCATAATGAAAAGGAAGAAAAATGAAAGGAAGGTCAACGGAAGTAAAATATCGGAACCATAAAATTAACAGTGATGAAGAAATGCTGATAGTAATAAAATAATATGATATTCAAAAAGAAATGAGGCATATTTTCTTATTGTGAGACCAAACGGTGGAACACTCTTCCTCCTGAAGCTGCTGCCTTGTTGCCCAGAGTTTTTAAGGGAAGATTGAGCAGCTGTTTTCTGGGACGTAATGGTTGGATTAGCGTTATTCTCACAGCAATCGGGGTGTCTCCTTGCCTGGGACAACTGGGGGCTCACGGCAGGCTCTTCTGGCTTCCAGGGGACCCCACTGTGCCTGTTCTGTATCAGGTGGAACGCACCCGTACCGGGAGGAGCTTCTCGGTGCGCTCGGTCAAGGCCATCCAGCACGGGAAGCCCATCTTTATATGCCAGGCTTCCTTCCAACGGGGGCAGCCCAGCCCGATGCAGCACCAGTTCCAAATGCCGGCTGTGCCGCTCCCGGAGGAACTGTTGACCCAGGAGCAGCTGATCCAGAAGTACCTGCGGTGAGTGGCTGGGAGAGGGCTGCAGCGCTGAGCCAACAGCACACCTGGCGCGTGGAGAATAAACCTCAGTGGGAGACGCCCCCAGCCGCTCCTTCCTGGAATGAATGAAAGGGCCCCAGAGAGAATTTAGCTCCGTCTCTGTGAAATTCCTTGGAGATTCTTGTATCTCTGGCAGCAGGGAGCATATAAAGTTCGTGGCTTTGTCCTGGCAGCAGTACAGAATCCGGGGCCTCAGAGGTGCCACTGGTGTGTCGAGCTGAGACTGCTGCAGCTGGGACTGAGGCGCACACTCTCCACTCTGCTCCCCCTTTTCTCCGCGTTGGCAGAGCCTCCCTGGTTTCTGGCATCTCACGCTGGCACCTGCCTTTTTTCCAAAGGGACCCCAACCTTCTGGAGAGATACCGGCAGGGACTCCGGAGAATGCTGGCCCAGGAGGTTCCGATCGAGATGAAGCCGGTGAACCCGCCTGACTTTTTCCACCAGAACTCCCAGGAACCCAAGCAGCTCTTCTGGGTGCGTGCCAGGGGCTACATCGGTAAGACCCGCACCCTGACCCCAGCCTGCTTTCCAAGAGCATCTTTATCATGCCCTGCGCTTGGTCAGCTCTCAGGGGAGGGAAGAGCTGGCTGGAGAAAGCAGAGCCCTCCGTTGGGCAGCCGAAGGTTCTGTGGGGTGTGGAAGTCTTCCTGTCTCCTTCAGAAGGGCTGCCCCTCTGAGCCCCCTCTCTTGCCTCCTGCTGGTGGGCCAGTTGGGGCCATCCCTGTAGGAAGGAGGGGACCACCCTGGAAGGACAGCACCACCCCTTCAGGGTTTGCATGAGTGGGGTTCTGAGTACAAGTGCCGGTTGTGGGGCTGGGCTTGGGGGCCGCCCTCTTCAAAGCAAATTGCCTCCCCCCTTCAAGGCCCATTCAAGAGGACTGAGAGTGGCTGCCTCCCCCTCTCGTTCCTTCAGTGTGGCCGTCTGACCAGCCTGGGGCTGTTTTGCCCACGTTTTCTATGCTGCAGATGATTTTGTGAAATTTATAGCTTTGGCTGGTTTACTGGTTTTTAATTAACGTGCTCAATTCTGCCCTTGGGATGATTGCAAACACGGCAGGAAATGTGTGTCAAAGACCCCTCCTGGGCAGAAGGGGGCTTGGCCTGTTCAGTACGGCTGCCTTGCCTCTTCCTGTATAGCCCAACCTACTCTCCCCCCCACTCACCCCACCTGCTCCCCCCTCACCCCAGTTTGCCTTCAGGCGTAGTGTCGGCCTCTCCGTTTCAGGCGAATGCGACATGAAGCTGCACTGCTGCGTGGCTGCGTACATCTCGGACTATGCGTTCCTGCGGACGGCCCTGTTGCCGCACCAGCACCACCGTGTGAAGTTCATGGTCTCGCTTGATCACACCATGTGGTTCCACGCGCCCTTCAGAGCCGACCAGTGGATGCTGTACGAGTGCGAGAGCCCCTGGGCCGGTAAGCCCCTCTGCCAGCCTGTGAGCAGGGGTGGGGTGGGCAGGCAGGAGAGACACCGAAGCAGCTTCTCCATCCTCCTCCCTTCCACAGGTGGCAGCCGGGGCTTGGTGCAGGGCCGCCTGTGGCGCAGAGATGGTGTGTTGGCGGTCAGCTGTGCCCAGGAAGGAGTAATCCGCGTGCAGGAAGAGCAGCCGGCCTCCAGCAAACTGTAGCCCTGCTTATCTTCCCCCATCGGTTCTCCTCTCCTAAGGGGAGCCCCTCCTCCCTCCTCCCCTCTTGCACTGGCTGAGTCCTCGGTGGCTGACGGTCGCTTACAAGGACCCCCGTAACCCCTGGAGACGGCGCTTACAGATGGAAGCACTTCCCTTGGGCGCATATTAATTTATTAGAGACTGACTTCCGTTCCCCAGCGGTTAATAAAGGGAGTAAAGTGTCCCACGCAGCTCTGGTTTCTGAAGGGGAGGAAGACGTTCCAATGGCTCCCCCCCCGAATCAGTGCCGGAGGGGAGATCTGCCCACTGCTCAGTCCCACCTTTGGCAGTGCCTAACAGCCTCCCCCATCTGGCGAGAAGAGCCTGTGGGGAGCCTCTCAGGAGGGGCCCCTGCCGCCCCTCTGCCAGCCCCCCCTGCAGATGCTTTTGTCACCCCAACACGGCCGTCTGCATCGCCTCACTTTCTTGGATGGACTTGGGGGATTGTGGGTCTGCGTCCCAGAAGCCTCTTCCGAACGGGCCGGCCAGCTTCGTCCGGCTGCTGGGCCAGAAGAGGCGCAGAGCTCACAAGGGTAGGATGGCCCTGACTCTCCCCTACTTCTCACCTGGTGCCCCTACTTGCTGGCAGGCCCTCAGGGCAGCCTCTGTTTGAGCAGCAGCTGCTTCAAAGGGGAGGTTGGATCTCGGCCCTCCCCTGATTCCTGCAGGCCATGCAGACGGGTCTCCGCCTGCTGCGTGTCCTTGCCCAGCACCCAGGCCAGGTGGACGTGGGTCTGCAGGAGGGCAGCCAGGAGGGGGTGGCTGTCCTGGCCCTCCAGCTGCTGCAGGGCCTGCTGGCAGGCCTCGTGGGCCTCCCCCCACTGCTCCAGCTCTTGATGGCAGACGGTCAGGCCGGCCAGCGTCAGCAGGAAATGCCCCGAGCGGCAGGCGCCCAGCTTCTCCTGCAGCCGCTGCGAGGCTGTCCAGGCAGCCAAGGCCTGGCGGTAGAGGCCCCTAGCAGTCAAGTCCTGCGCCCCCCGCAGGCTGTCCAGGAAGAAGAATTCCAGGAAGGCGGCCGAGCGGCGGATCTCGGGCGAGGCGTGCAGGCGGGAGAGAAACTGTTCGAAGGCCCGGCTGCGCTTGGCGATGGTCGCAGGGGTGAAGTTGCGCCACAGCTGCTTCCGGGGGAAGGAGACCCCCGCCATGTCTGCGCTGAAGTGGCGGCGCAGGCGTCGGTTCAGCCGCTCAAAGTCAGAGTAGCAGCGGGCGACGGTGGCAGGCGTCTGGTCAAACTGCCCTGCCCGGATCAGGTAGATGGTGTAGAGCTGGGTGGCAAGAGAGAAACAGGTGAGGGGGGAGCAAGAAGCAGCCGCCCGGCTCAGCCTGCTTCCCCCCCCCCTGGCAGGCCTCCTGCAGAGAGTCCTGGGGGCAGGTGGAGCAGCGCCCCCCCCCAGAAGAGAATTACCTTTTCTGAGTGCCCAGTGCAGCAGAAGAAGGAAAGAGACAAGAGTCAAAGTCAGCTGCCCCCCCAGCCCCACTGGAAGGTCTGGGGAAGTCCCTTTGGGGAGAAGAGATAGCTGAGACCACGGGGGTCCTGCATCTTCCTTTGGCCCAGCCTTCCTTGGGGAAAGCAGGAGCAACCTGGGGGCCCTTTCCTGGTCCCCTTCTTCCTCCGCCCCCCCCTCACTCACCACGTGCTTGGAGTTGCGCTCGCTTACCACGCTGGCACTGGTGACCTCGAACAGGAGGCGTTGGGGCACAAAGCTTCCCCGCGATTTCCGCCAGAACTCCTGCAACTGGCGGGTGAGCAGGTGGCTGCCCCTTTGCTCGGCCAGGGGGGAGTCGGACTCTGAACCAGAGGGGGGAGGGGAAGGGGGAGGGAGAGCAACAGGTGAGTCGAGGCCAGGGGGGGCGGTTGGTCCGTGGAGCCCCTGGACTGGCAGAGGAGCAAAAGGAGCCCCTACTCCAAGGATCTGGAGGGGAGGAAGCCCCTCCCCAGGACATGGGGGTGGGGGGGAGGGTCTCATCCAGAACTGAAACTTCCTATCAGTGAGAACAATTGACCAGTGGAACTCCTTCCCTCCAGAAGTTGTGGGGGCTCCGTCACTGGAAGAAGGGACTGGAGAACCACTCTGGAGTGGTGTAGGGTCTCCTGCTTGGGCAGAGGGCTGGACTAGAAGACCTCCAAGTTTCCTCCCAGCTCTATTTCTACTGGAGTCCAGATTCCGCGCCAGAAAGGGAAGCCCCTTGGATTTCTCCTTCCAAACCGGGAACTGGGAATTTTGACCTAATTTCAGGCTGTCCGATTTATGGCCAGGTTGCCCTCCACGCGTAAACCTGGTCATGGGCGAGTATTGGACGAGCTCATCCACCAGCTGCGCCCCCGCCCCTCCCCCGCCCCGCTTTGGCGCCCTACCTCCCATCTCGGCCGCATCTCCGGGCAGGTGCAGATCCAAGAGGGCTCCCGGCTGGCAGCCCCCTCCTTCCTCCTCCTCCTCCTCCTCCTCCTCCTCGTCCTCATTGCTGCTGAAGCTGAGGGTGCCGCTGAGGCGCGTGGCCAGGCCCTCCGTGTCGTCGTCCAGCTCCGAGCTCTCCGGACAGTCCTCGGCCCCGGCGCAGCCCCCGGCCGGCCCCTCCGCCTCGCCGCTCCCGGCCAGCGCGTGCCGCAGGCGGTGCAGAAGGCGGGAGGCCATCGTGGGGCCCGGCCCTCCGCGACGCCCCGCAAGGGCGGCTGGCTGCTTCGCGGGCTCTCTGGGCTCCCGCGGGGCTTTGGGGGTGAAGGCACAGCGCCGCCCCACCGCCCGCCCGCCCTTCTCCCCGAGGGGCTCCCCGGCCGGCGGTCCCGCCGCTCACCTGCCGCGAGGAGCCGATGGGCGCTTGCCGGCGGGGCTCTGCTCACCTGCGAGGGGCCGCCTTGCTCGCTTCGGCCCCGGCGACGACGGCC